AATAATTTTAGAAAAAAAAAAAAAAAAAAAGTGTTTTACTGAATTGTAAAAATATTAGCTACAGTATACTTACCCCAGTGGCTTGCTATCTCCATGCGTTGAATAGAATAATATGCAGATGGAGAAAAGTACAACTGTTTTCTCCAAAAGTCCAAGATTGATGGAAATCGTTTTATGAACCTTTGAAATAAAAATAAATGCGTTTATGGCAATAATAATTTAATTGGAGCAAAATTAGCATATAGAACTAAATATATAGCTAAGATAAAAAATAATACAATACAAACACAATTTAGATTGAACTCACCATTGCTGGGTATTAAGTAAGAGATTGCGGGAGTTCGTGCATCAGCCTATCAGTTCACATTAGAGTTGGTTCACAGTTCACAGGGTGAGCTCCTTATATAGCTCTGTGTCCATTGATGAGCCGCCTTCATTATTAGTGATGATGTCACCCCGTGACAACACCTCTACAACACCACCAATAATTCAGCCCTCGTTAAAACCCGCCCTTGAATTTGAACTTACGTGCGTAAATTAGTGGTACAATTTCCTTAACTACCTAGCAATAATTACACAAACAAATACATACATATTTGTATTTAATTCCAAAGGTGAAAAATGTTCGTACTGCTCAGTTATTTAAATCAGGTAGTAAATTATTTATATTCTATTCTATTCTATTCTATTATAAATATTATCTAATTTGAATTTCAGAATGTTTGCTGTATGTGTATGATTTTGTATGATTTTATTAACCTTAAAGGATTGAATTATTGTACATATTGATTTTTTTTCTTTTCTGAAATAGTTGCATCCACCTTCCTAGACCAATAAAAAGTTTTCCGGATTTTCTCTGAAAATGTACAGAAAAGGTATTCATTTACTGCAACTATTATAGCAGCTGCTACGTGTACATGTTTTCTCTATCAGGTGGTAGTCCAGCCAAAGAACCTGTTGCAGTCACAGGTGTCCAGAGGGGCACCCGGGGAGGTGGACGGCTCTGTCCTACTTTTATGGCCACTGGATGCAGATTAGGTAACTATGAGCGAAGTTTTCTAAATGTAGCCCAGGAATAGCTATGTCATGACATAGAGAGTGTGTTTGGGTACCTAAACAGGTCTGACCCATAGATCTTACCTCGTGGTGTGGTTAGGGTTTCTCTCCGAGCTATGGGCTTCTGACTCAAGAAAAAATAGGGTATGATGACACACGAGGCAATAAGCATCACTTCAGTCTGTAAATTATAGAGGACCTGAGAGATCGTCACCCAATATCTATGTTTTATGCAATAACCAGCAAAGTGCATGTAAGCTGTATCGAATACTGCTTATTCTAGAAATGTTCACTGCATCTTGTGCATTGCACCTGTCCATGAGCTACTGTTTCATCCTTTGGCATTCTGTAAAACAAACTTCGCAGGTGGTAAGCAATTAAAGTTGTTTACATACCAAATTCACAAGAGTTATGGCTGACAAGGCCCGCATGTTGAAGATGTTTGACCCCATCCCGGTCTTTTGCAGTACTGTGTATGGGCTGAAGTGGGCATGGCCTGTTTAGATGACACCCACCAAACAAATAGACCTTTGACCCTTGCAAGAGATCCCTAGCACAGTCCTAACAATCCTCAGCAGTATTTAGACCCTTTGGAGGCAGGAGGGGGGACCTTTCAACCCCCGAACTGTAGTTCTCATTACCTCATGCTTTATCGATGCGGATCATGTCATCAGCAGTGTGTGTTACCACTACACATGATTATTCAGGAGAATTCAGGGGGAGATATCAAGTCACCTAAGGACACCCAATGCAGTCATGCCACAGGTGTAAAAGACATGCTGGTCCTTCACTGTAAAATCTAATTAGTTGGGCTTACTTAAAAAAAGCATGGAAACCGATTACCTTGAAAAAACTAAGTAAAGTGAAATAGGAATAGTATGTTGTACTGACAAATGCTTAGTTAGTATAGTTTACTTACACGAGAGTTCTAGTAACTAAAAAAGAACTGTAGGGGGTACTTGATCCTTTCATTTAGGTTTACTCATGACTTAAGTATAGCTACTCACTGACTCCCAGAGTGCATTGCGGCATGAATAAATGATGCAGTTGCTTTGTTTTACAGTTGATTTTATTTGCCAATTTTATTTGCTGTCTTGTGTCAGTAGTAGCACAATAAAAATACCAAATGAAATGGTTATTGTTACAATTAATGAAAAACAAATTGAATTGAATTGTTACCATTGTTGTGATTCACGTGCTGAATGTTTAAGTCTGTGTGTGACTTTAGCATATCACCACACATTATTTAAGGATTATATAAACCCAATTTAAAGCATCGCAAGGTATTTCTGAAGAATTAAATTTGATAAAGTTCATTAATAAACACACACACAAAATATATTAGTGTTTTAATTAGAAAACAGATTACCTTCCAAAAGTAACCTATTTACTACTTTTCAAAATATTTTCAAATAACTCTGACTTCATGATGCATTGCTGCACTAACAGAGAGAACATTTTACTACCACAAAGTAAGTTCCAAGTGCCAATCACTATAATGGTGAGTAAAAAAAAAAACATTTTAGGAAAATCAACATCAATTTATGAAGTCAGCTTATGTGATGCTCTCTCAAATATTTCAATTGTATTGAAAATTCAACATTCAAGATGACTTTGGGAAATGAGTGAATGCAACTAGTGAAAGATGGCTGCAGACATGGAGGAGATGGATGAAAAATGTATTAAGACTCTTTTGCCTTTCTTCTTCTTCTTCTTCTTCTGTTGTTATGTTGCACATTAGCAACATATTAATGCACTGCTGCCTCTCACTGGTTTATTAATATCATTGGTTTCTTTGTGGCTACTTGAATATTTTAAGTAAGTGTCACTCAAAACAGTAAGTAAATTGTTTTATTTGCCTTGAAAGTAGCTGTAACTTAATAAAAACCTAGTAAGTATAACAACTAAGTAAAGATAACTAATTAAATCTAAGTAGGGGAAACTATTGGATTTTACAGTGTTGTGACACAATGAACTGAATCTATATTAAGTGCCATCATGTGCTATTTTTGGTCTTTCTCAAGGTTTATTGAGGGGTAAAATGTTTATTATGTGGGCTGATTTGAACACAACATTTGATATCCAAAATGAATGGCGACATATGTTAATAACTGGCACCTGAAAGCATCTGACAACAGGTGAAACATTAAACATTTTTAAAAGAAGGTATTATCATAAAATATTGGTTCTGAAACATTTTAAGATTTGTAGTCATATTTTAGAAAATGTAATTTGTGTAACATTTTTATAGTGATTTGACTGTTTTTTTTATGATGTAGCACATCAAAATACAATGCAACAAGATTTGCTTTTTATTGGAAAAAATGTTAGATGCTTGGAAGACTGAAATAATAGAATAGAATAGAATAGACAGGTCTGATATGTATTTTTGTATTTACTGCTATGATACATAGTATACAGAATGAAAATATGTACAATGTGCAATGTATTAGAATAGAATAGAATATAGACATGTCCGGTGTGTAATTTTTTATTTATAATTATGATACATACAGTAGCATAAACATAAATGATATACAATGTGCAGTGTATTAGAATAGTCAGAATAGAATAGAATAGACAGGTCTGGCATGTATTTTTGCATTTCCTGCTATGATACATAGTATAAAGACAGAAAATATTTACAATGTGCAATGTTTTAGAACAGAATAGAATATAGACATCTGGAATGTATTTTACTATTTACAGCTGATACACTGTATAAACACAGAAAAGCTGTACCATGTGCAATGTATTAGAATAGAATAGAATAGAATAGAGACAGGTCTGGTGTGTATTTTTGCATTTCCTGCTATGATACATAGTATAAAGACAGAAAATATTTACAATGTGCAATGTTTTAGAACAGAATAGAATATAGACATCTGGAATGTATTTTACTATTTACAGCTGATACACTGTATAAACACAGAAAAGCTGTACCATGTGCAATGTATTAGAATAGAATAGAATAGAGACAGGTCTGGTGTGTATTTTTGTATTTACAGCTATGATAACAAATTATGTACAATGTTTAGTGTATTAGAATCTAATATAATATAGACAGGTTAAGACGTGTATTTTTGTATTCACAGCTATGATACATAGTATAAACACAGAGAAAATGTACAATGTGCAATGTACTATACCAACCAAACAGAAAATAAAGAACACAGTGTGCTAATACACAAAGAAAATGCTGTATGCAATATAATTTACGGAACAAACGATAAATAAATCATACAAAAATCAAAATAAATATTACAACATTGTAGCAAACAAAAAAAAACATGAAAATGTATTTTAAAAAGGTTTTGGGAAGAACTAAATAAAAATGTATGTTTTTTCTTTTGCTAATAAACCTTGAATTTGGTGACCTTTTTCAGCTAGTGACGCTGGTTGATTTAACCTTACGTAGCTTCAAAGAAACTGTTTAAGGAGCGGAAAGACATCAGTAACACATTTAATGCAGGTTCACATGCGATATTCCCACTGGTCCGTAAAAAAAGAATGGCAGTAAAAAATCATTTTAGCTGCTGCTTGCTGACGCGATAGACCACGGAAGCCATTTCTAAGAAGAAAAGCTACAAAAAGCGCCCTTTATGTGAGAAAGGGATTTCTCCAGCAGTGAAAATAGTTGCCTGACAAACCGAATGACGCACAGAGCACTGATGCTTATTCATGAATGGACTGAAGATAATAAAGGTTACGTAGCTCTTCGTTGTCACAGTAACGGCGTGATTTATGAAATGGCACATTTTCAGTACACACCACTGCGAACAGTTTTTCTTAGCAGTAATTGTCTTTATACGTCGTTTGTTTTTAGAATGTATTTTACATCATTTTTTTATTAGATACATGCTGTTCATAAATGCTCGAAAATGTCGATACGTACAGAGCATGCGCAGTCGGCAACACACTGAGGCGGTAATTGGCGGAAAAATAGGAGTGTAATTTGTCAATGAGCAAAATAGGTAAGTACATGACAGTTTTCCTTTTGGTTGAGGTCAAAACACAAGAATACACGAAATACTTTTAAATGAAATGCACTTTGTCATATTTAGTAGCGAAGGACGAGCAGTTAAACAAGCCGCTGAGTATCTGTGGAGAATGACCTCGCGATGAACTAAGTGTTCAACTGTAGCGTTCCACTTTAGCTACAGTTTCTCAACAAATGCAACCACAAGTCTGCTCTCCTCATTACTGTTACTGTTTCTGCACTGACTTTTAAGGCCCTGTCTGAGAGGAAAGGTGACCTGCTAAATCAGGTAAGAGTTACACAAGATTTGGAACATAGTTGAAAAAATGATTCCACATTTGAATTAAATACATTTGTTTTTACATTGACAGGTGCTTCTTGGGAAAAGAAACAGGACAAATAGGAAATTTCACTCTGGCGAGGCATGTGAGTATTCACAAAAAATTATACTACATAGTCAACAACTGAAGTGGATCCAAAACCTTTAATCAAAGTTGTCCTAAAACCAAAATGCGTTCTTGTCTTAGGACAACTTTGATTAACTTTTTTGATCCACTTCAAATGTTGACTACTGTGTAACTTATGATAGAGCCTTCATAAGTTATTAGGTTACATTAGGTTACATAATGGTTTGTTGCATTGCACCAGGCATATTAACCATGCATGTACATAGCGATAAATACACATTATGTAAATACATATTTATATTTATAGTTTTACATATGTGCATATCTGTACACTGCCTGCCCAAATAATTAATATTAATACATTTTAATGATTTTAAAAGAACTCACCAAGGCTGCATTGATTTGATCAAAATACAGTAAAAACTGTAATATTGTGAAATATTACTGCAATTTAAAACAACTGTTTTCTATTTAAATGTTTTAAAATGTTACTTATTCGTGTGATGGCAAAATTTTCTCAATTTTCTCCCATCATTACTCCAGTGTCACGTGATCCTGCAGAAATCATTCTAATATGTTGATTTGGTGCTCATGAAGCATTTAATATCATTACCAATATCAAAAACAGTTGTGCTGCTTCATACTTTTGTGGAAACCGTGATACACAACCATTCAAAAGTATGGGGTATGTAAAATTAAAAAAAAAAAAAAAAGAAAAGAAAAACTTATTTGGCAAGAATGCATTCAGTTATTCAGAAGTGATAGTAAAGACATGTATTAGGTATACATATGATTTATTATTTCAAATAAATGCTGTTCCTTGGTATAACATTTTATTAATCAAAGAATCCTAAAAAAAAAAGCTATCACCATTTCCAGTAAAATATTAAGCAGCACAACTGTTTTCAACATTGATAATAAGAATTGATAAAATAACCAATGTGCTTTGTTGTTACTCTTTGATTTTGTAAAGGAAATGGCTTCTCTCCCTACAATGAAGAACATTCCCAATGTAGAAAATGCCTTTAAAGCATCCAAGAAACACAAAAACAAGAAAATGAAAAAGGAAAAAAAGGATAAGAGCAAAAAGCATGTGCCTGACTTGTTGCACGACGGCTGCCATGAGGCAGTGTTTACACAAATGCAAGAGACTAAGAAAAGAAAAAAGCCAAAGAAGAAAATCAAACCGAAGAAAGACTTTCAGCAACCTAAATTAAATAAACAGCTCAAACAACCTGAAGATACGTACCAAACTCAGCCCATCATCTGCATCTTCCCTGATCAGGAGACACCACATTCAACTGAGAAGGAGTGTAATAGAAGCATGAAACGTAAAAAGAGAGTCAATTTCAACTTGCCACCTGAGCAGAGCCAAGCTGCAAAGACAAATAATGAAGAATTTGGAAAGAAGCAGCTGGTCGGTGAAAGCAGCTTGGAATCCAGCACAGCTGAAGAAATAAACAGCCAAGACCTGTTTATCACACAGAAATCATTCTTGGATCCATATGTGGAGATCTCCAGCAGCTCAAGCTCCAGTGCGGGCACTACCATGAAGGCGCCAGAGAACCGCTCATGTAGTTTAACTGCTGAAGCAACCACTCAAACCGAAAACTTCTTTACCCTCTCAGCACTCTCCACTTCTCTCAGGTTTCAGCAGCAGCAGAACACGTCCAAAAGCTTGGAGGAACCGGTAGACCTGAGCCTGCCAAACAGAACAAGACGAAGGCATGGCCCAAAACAATCCACTGTAGATTCTGCGAAACCACCCCTGCTGAAGATATCAGGCTCATCGAGTGAAGACGGCGATACGGTGCCCAAGGCCAAAGGTGATCTGCTCCAGCTGAAGGTCATCCAGACCCGCTTGAACGAGTCTTTCTTTTTTAAGGTGAAGGGTGAAGATTCTCCGAAGCCCATGTGCCCTTTGATGAAGCTCACGGAAAGTGTTGAGAAAAGAACGAAGTAAAATCCGACTAAGCTAAGATGTTACAAATTCATGATGAAAAAAAGCAGAGAGTTCTGTGCACACAGCTTTGTTATTTGCAGTTTTATTCTGTATTTTACATTGTTTGCTTCAATGTTTATTCAGTGTTATTAAATATGAATGTTCACGATTTGTTTACAAGCAAGCATTGTTCCGAAAAATTCCTACAATTAAAACAGTCTCACGGTTTTACAGTTTTAATTGTGTCTAAACAGCTTGATTCCCATCCACTTCCAAAGGTGAAAGAAAACATAAACAGGAATTGTTACTGGCAGCAGCAGGCTGTAAAAACACACGCTGCTTGCACTCGTACAGCCTTGAGGGAAATTTTCATCCACGGTTGCCGAGTAAAACAGTCCAGACAAGGATATCAGTGGCACAAGAACAGTCACTGTAGACAGGGAGAAAAACATTGTGGCAGAAAATGAACAATGAAATATTTGCTTTATAAACTCAAGATTCAGTGGGTTTTTCAGTCGCTCCGCTCTTATGGATCATTCTTGCATCTTGTGGGATCATGTTAGGAATTCCATCAATGATGGGATATGCGATACCAAGCTCTTCGTTTATTAATTCGCTGCTCCTTTCGTCGTACCTTGAAAAAATCAGAAGCAAATACATGTATTAGTATTATTGATAATGATAATCTGAACATCCCTTACAAAGATGCATCACGTTAAACATATTTAATACTACAGTTACTATAAACCACACTAAATGAATATGGGATCTTCTTATATTAAAGCATAATGTCTTTCAGATTTCTTTGTAATTCTGTAGCATTTTTGTCACTCTTTTTTGAAAATAGCTTTTATTATTATAGTTTAATTGTTACACACAAAATAATATTTAATTTTATACACATACAAATAGGCTATATATATATATATATATATATATAAGCAAATTTAGTATAATAAAACATTTTTAAAAAGTACCTAATTTGTCAGAAGAAAATATGTATTAGTATTATTGATAATCATAATCTGAACATCCCTTACAAAATGTATGAAAAGTTTATGAAAAAATAGTTACAATAAAAAAAACAGTATTAATTCAATTACTACAAAACCCATACTAAATGAATGAAATCTTCATATAAAGCAGAATGCTTTGCAATGTGTAATTCTGTAACATTTTGATAATAGTAAACGTTTTATTCATTTATAAAAATTTAAAAAAGTAATACATGATAAAAATAAATAAATAACTGATGTTTGTCAGTAGTAGCTATACCAAGGTAAAAGTTCGTAATGGAACTTTATCAACTGGTGTTATATGAGATCATCACTGCTATATAACTACTGTAAGTTACGTGCCATCATAAGGTAATAATATTATGCATGATGAACAATCACACCTCAGGGGTTTTTTGGACAGTGGACACACAAGAAACTCAAGCAGAGACTCATCAAACGGCTGACTCTGGCTGTCCTTCACTGCATCGCTGCGGCTGCGCTGTTGTCCTCGGATCTTCACGACGCTCACAGATCTCTGCACGCTAAACACTCCAGTGGCAAGTGTCCTCAATGCATGAGACATATCCGAAGACAGCTGTATGGATTAAAAATACGAAACTTGTTTCACCCGTTCGACACGCCAACAGTGAACCGGAAGCGCTGAACTAGGCGCGTTTGTAAACGTGTCCCCTGATCTTTTACATTCGTGAGATGGTTCCGGTGGCAAATTGTTCTATATATTAGTTTGAACAGAAATGTAATTCATTACAAAAATATGAATATATCTGATTTTACATGGTCTGCACAGGACAAAGAACACTCTTTAGCAAGAAAATGGATGCAGATATTTTGAAATAAATAATTCATTTAGGTGTTACGACAGACATAGTAACCACCATAATGACATGTAGGCTATTATTGCATTGATCAAAATAATAATAAAAAATTAAAGTAATAATACAAAAAAATTAAATGAATAATCTAAACTACTACTAAGCTATTGTTATTGATAAAAATAACAATAATAGGCTATTTCAGCTGGCAGCGAGCCATTCATTTAGGTTTAAGACAAATAACTAACAACAATTGTCATATAATGACACTGTTTTTCTTTTGCATCACACGCATTTTATTATTATTCATTATTCATAGATATTATATAAATAATTATTATTCTTTTTATCTGCATCGATAATAATGAAAAACGAATAATAAAAGAGTTTCGTAATATATGTAAACTAATAATCTAAACTAGATCTAAAGAAGAAGACCAAGAATTGCATGTGATGCACAAGAAGAAGAAAAAAAGTGTAATAGTGTAATTATGTCACACTACTAAATTAAATGAAGGGTTTACTACAGACTGCATTAATACTGATTATATCAAGAGAAATAAATAATTATAGAAATAACGTGTTGGTTCCAAGGAATCATAGTGAGAGGAATGCATTTAAGCATTTGAAATAGATTTATTGGATAGAATTATGACATTTTATGCCTCATTAAACGAAATAATATATTGAAAGCAGTGTGTGGCGCTCTTGCCTAAAGCATTGTAAAATAGAAAACGAGCCGGAGAAGCTGAAGAGATTATTCATGAACAGCAGATGTCGCCACTGAACTGTGTGTTTAAAAAAACCTACCAACTCTTAAGCACTGAAAAAACGAAAAACTTTAATTTGAAGTGCTTGTTGTGAAACAAGCTGAGACTTAAATTAAAGGCAGAAGCTGCCAGGAGTGGAGAAGCTCTCAGTTAAGATCGTATTGTAAACAAAGTATTGCAGGTGCATATGCAGTGATACAAAATATAGTATAAACAAACAGATTGTATATTGGCTATTTCACTGGGCCTGTGACTTTGAGTGACTCTCAGAAGACTCATTCACACAAACAACAGACTTGTGCAGAAGTCAAGCATCTGACCAGCCTTCTGATGTCCAGAGGTAGCTGGATCCTCCTCAAAACTGCCCTCTTGATTTCAGAGCTATTCTTCAAGAGTCTCAAGATTAGCTCTGGTTATTCATCCAGCTGGTTTCTCAAGACTTGTCCAGGGTTTTGTCAGGGGTTTATTTCTTTGGCATGTGCTGTTGTGGCAGATCTCTCGCTCAAGGCAGGCAAGGTTTACTCAAAGTTATGGAGGAGACAATATTGGCCATGCCATGTTTGTGTGTATTTCCACCAAAAACACAGAAATGGACACATTCCCCCCGATATCCCTACACTGTCAAATTCAAAGCTGTTTTATGTCCATTTTTGTAGTGTTTTGAGCTGATGGAAGAGAAAGAGCTGGAAAGAAGCTCATGAGCACCAGAGACCACAGTTCACTGACCTGCCAAGCATGTCAAATGAAACAAACCTGCTCCAGGCCACAGTCAGGACAGACGGCATTGTGGGTAGGTGCGCTCTTCATTGCATTGAACGAATCGATTGCCTCAGCCATGTGAAATCTGACTATAGCCTCTTGCTCTTCTGAAAATGTTTACTTCTGTGTCTGGGACCTAAGAGCTGATCACTGGAAAAATAAAAATAGAAAATTAATTGAAAATTAACTGAATTTAAAGGTGAAAATGTGTGTTACTTGATTAAGAAATCAAAGACAATTCATGAATTATAAGATAATCAAGGTTTGCTGTGCATAAAAAAATCCATTACATTTACCTTGTTTCATTTTCATAAGTTGGTTAACCTTAATTATTGCTGAAATAACACATTCCTTGTTAAACATGTCCTCTATGTTTGAAAAATGTGTTGAATGCATAAAAAGAGGCAAACCTTAGGTTAGTTATGCAAATGTCTGTCTGAGCCTAAGGGCTCTTACCTTCGGCTGTGATTTTTATCTTCATATTAAACTGGGCTAACATTGTAGATCTCGAGTGTGGTCTTTACTAAAAAACTAAAACAATTTGTTCTCCGTCAACTGATGGCAATTAGACAATTTTGCTATTGCCTTCTGTTGCCATTTCCAGCCAGCATCCTTCAGAAATGGTTTCACAGTTGCTAGTGAATCCAGTTAATCAAGCTTGAACCCTTTTCTGCTCCATTATCTACCACAGCATGAACGCTGAGCAACATATGATTGTGTGAACTGTCATTATTTCCTTTTGTTTCAGTTTCCATTAATGCAGATGGTGCCAATAGCGAAATATACAAACAAACATCAATATGCTTCTTGAAATGTCTGAGTGGGCTAGTGTGCGCCACCTGGGACTGGCTAATTTCTTGCCCATGAAAGAGAATGAAAAACCAAACGCTTTTACCTCATTTAATGCAGCTGAATTTAAGGACTTCCTTCTCGTTTTTAGTATTTGGTATTTTCAAGATATGGAACTGTCGGTTCAATAGGAAACACCTTCATTTACATGTGAAAAATATATTAAAAGTTTTCTTATATTTTCATGCCATTTTGTAGCTACAAAATGAACATTTGCTAATGATCTAAGCATTAGTATATAAGGTAATAATGTTAGCTAATGTTCGTAATTAATTATTGTAGGCTACTTAATCTTAATTAGTTATTAAATAATGTTTCTGAGAAAATATTGCTTAGAGATTTCTATGGTGGTCTATAGGATCTTTAGGGAGTCCATTAGGGTGAGGTAGGGCCTACATATTAGCGAAATGTCATAAGCAAAAAAGTCCATTGTTCATTGTCAATCCACCTTATTTTTCCCGTTACAGCAGGCGTGGCCATTTGTAAATGTAATGTGTCTGGCTTCCGGTCTAATCCGCGTCCAGCTATTTTTAGCTGTACAAAACCACTCGTTTTGCTGTTTGATATTGCAAATTGGTGAGTCTTACCATATTATTTTAATGTATCATCTTAATTATGAACACACTGGTTTGTAGTGCAAACAGTTTTACCGTTTATTGCACTTTGTTATTCTTCTCATTATTTCTCTACGGCGGCTTATGAACCGGAAGTCTCGCACATTCACAGAAAACGGCTTACTTCCGCGTTGAAGAATAAGGTGGATAGTGTAGAGATGTATAAAGCACAACTCATATACAGAAATCGCTTTCAACACAAACATATTTCTGTTGATCAACGCAGTGAATTCGCATGGCCAACTTGAACCCGTTGCGAAATCTATGTTAGTAATCTTTTGCTCTTATGTGAAATTCCCAATTGCGTAAATTAATGTATTTTCAACCCAATCTCATGGCAATTTGTAAATTTTTTGACAAGGTGGCTAATTCGTACAACCCTGAGGTGGAAAATTAGTAGGAATTCGTACGAAGGACTTGACCCCGCTCCTTAACTTAACCGCCACAGAAATTGTTGTGCGAATTTGTTTGAATAGCCACCTCGTAAAATAGTCTACTTGGCTGAGAGATAGCGTTCGTATTTTACCTTGAAAATTCGCCAAACAATGGTAAATGTGACCCTATCTTACAATGTACAAAACACTGCAACAATATTGTTCCATACAATACCTAAAAATGCAGAACATTATGTAGTGTGAATAATGTTATTGGCAAAAAATAAATAAATAAATTCCTGTTCATTATAATAGAGAATCAAATTTTCTCCATGTTCAGTATTCTAATTACTTTGCTCCATTTGCACAGCGCTTCATGTAGAAGAACTGTAGCAGATAGTGGAAGGTCCTTGGGAGAATACAGTAATTTAATAAACTCAGAGGGTTTGGCTTCTCAGCCTGTGGGATTATGAGGTTCAGAAGTGCTAACCCAACACTTTTTAGACCTGATAACAAGCTCTCCAAATGCTCTGGGCTTCTCACACTTCTCTCACTTAAAATAGTTGGGTTAAAAATGACCCAACAGATAACCCAATGGTGGGTTACTATAGCACCTACCTAATGTTGGGTTATTTTAACTCAATGGATCGGGTAGTACATTTTACCCAATGCATTGGGTTATAAAAGAACTAATTTGTTGGGTTATTTGGGCAAAACGTTGCTTTAACCATCCTGGTATTAATTATTATTGCTATGTAAATAAATAATAATGTACAACATACAAATATTTTGAAAATGCTTTATTTCCATTACATTTAAGTTGCAAATACTTCTATTAAATTAAATTACTGGTTGAAATTGTGTTATTAATTACTTGCTTATCACATTAGATTACTTGCAATTGTTTCAGTTTACAAGATAAATATAAAATCCCAAATAAACAAACAAACAAACAGAACAAAGCTAAGACAATGCAATTACAACTGCAAAATGTAAAATAATTTAAAGCATGTATACTGCTTGTAAAAAGACGGTCTTGCTTCAGTGCCATTTTTCCTACAATAATGAAGGCTTGATTTTATCCCAAAACTGGAGGACATGAGGGAATTGCCTTGGTTGCTCTTCCTCCTCCTCCTCCAAATACAGAATAAAATTTGTTTCAACCTTTAAACAGAAATTTAAAATGGTATATATGCATACATAAATAAATAATACCCCAAAATATATTGTCATAAATGATGCACTTACCCACTTTGTATGGCAGTGAAGGAGGATGTCAGGGTTTTAATGCAAGTTTAATGCAATCTCCAAGACCACCTTAAATAGAAAGAACAATGGATTAATCACCAAACAAGAATGGGAAAAAAACGGGGAAAAAATCCACACTTTTCTAAGTCATGGTGGTAGTCTTTCATTTGACTTCTTACTGTTGTAATAATGGATTAATGTCTGTTATGTATTAATTTGATTAGCCGAGTGTTACAAGAGTGGTGTTTGTATATCATTAGACAGG